GATAGACCAACAGTGTCTACATAAAAAGATGTCACCAAGCAACTGACACATGCATGAGCCAGCGTAGAAGGATTATCCCAAAGAACAAGGAACAAGAGGTGAGTGGGCATGGAGGCATATATATATATATATATATCGTGAAACAGAGCTGCCCGGTAAACCGTAGGCAGAGAGGGAGAAGAGGACAACAAAGAACGGGCAGTAACAAACTATATATGTAGATATATATGCATATCAGCCTCCTGACGAGTCGGTGAAACTCCTACAAAACAGTCTGTCACAGCCCCTCGTTTGTTGTCCTCTTCTCTCTCTGTGCCTACGGTTTACCGGGCAGCTCTGTCTGACGGTACATATATATACCATCAGACAGAACTGCCCGGTAAACCGTAGGCACAGAGAGAGAAGAGGACAACAAACGAGGAGCTGCCCGGTAAACCGTAGGCACAGAGAGAGAAGAGGACAACAAACGAGGGGCTGTGACAGACTGTTTTGTAGGAGTTTCACCGACTCGTCAGGAGGATGAACCCTATATATTGTCACAAAGTTATCAGAGCACAAAAGCGAAAAGAAAACAGAAAGAAAACAAAGAAAAATAAATTCATTTTTTTATCTTTTTCCTTACAACTCCCCCTGTTCAGAACCTCTTGCGTACAAGGCCACCCACGTGGATGTAGGTTGCGCGGCGGCTGGCCCCACCCCCTGTGTCATATCAACCCACTTGCACACAGCCAAAGGGCAAAGACTCCAAAGAGGCAAAGAAAAGAGGAAGGGAACCGCCAAATACAACAAAACAGGGGGCAATAAGCAACAGCACAAACCGGATCCTATATGACAAGTCCCACATGCAAACACCGCCCCACCTACAAAGGCCAAAACGACGGGACACGACCACCCAGGACAAAACACTCTTGTCTGCAAAAAAAGAAATCCCAGTTACATACCTATACACAGCAGATGGCCTTGTTCGACATCAAGAAGTTGGTATTCCAATGTCAACTGAAATACTGGGACACCGCCAACAGCAAAAAAAATATAAAGACACTCCCAGATGACGATTCCCACTTATAGTATATGTAGAGCTGCCCGGTTAACCGTAGGCAGAGAGGGAGAAGAGGACAACAAACGAGGGGCTGTAACAAACTCTTCATATATATCGTCAAGCAGAGCCGCCCGGTAAACTGTAGGCAGAGAGGGAAGGAGACGACAACAAATGAGGGGCTGTGACAAACCGTTCCGTCGGAGTTTCACCGACTCATTACCGGACCGGGCTTTTGTTTCTTTTTTATTTTTCATGGCCCACCCCCAAATAAATTGTTTTGGGATTTTTTGACAATTTTCCGGCCCTTTCAGAAAGCGAAAGAGGGTCGGGCTGAGACTGATTCTGATTTAGAGAGACAGACAGACAGATAGAAACAGGGAGCGACGGACAGACACAAAGAGAGAGAGAGAGAGAGAGGTGCACAGGCTGGATACTGCCTTGAGGTAGGTAGGGCCCAATTCACTGCCTGTCTATAAACCTTCTGTAACCTTTTCTTTTCTTTTTTCTTCTTCTTCTTCTTTTGGTCCCTTTTTTTCGGATGTCAGTCCGGCCGGACCTCGTGCTCTGTCCGGGTCCGGGGTAACCACGAAAAACACCGATCAGCCCAAGTCTACTTTTTCCGCACAGCAGTCCAGGTACATGTAGAACGTCTAGTAGTGGAGGGTTACCCGTTTTCTTCATTCTCCTTATTTACTGCGTCTGTGTGTGCGAGGGGAGGCGGGTTAGGGCGTGCAGGGAGGGGTGGGAGGGGTGGGAGGAGGAGGGAGGAGGAGGGAACTCCAGTTGGACGAAAGAAGGATAGAGGAGAAAGGAGAAAGGGAACCAATAACATTATTCCGCACCATCGCTTTTGCCAACCAACCAATCAGATTGGTATAGCGGCCGCAATAGAGCATGCTTCTTTTTGTTTCATGTTCTCTTCTTTTTTGTAATTTTTTCTTCCTTTCTTTTTTTCTTTTTTTCTTTCTTTTCCTTCTTTTTTTCTTTTTCTTTCCTTTTGTGTAATACGCACACAGCATGCATGCATGCATGCATGCATGATTCTTACTTGTCCCAGGGAATGGCGTCTTTGGGTCGCTTTGTCTTCCACGTGGGCTTGAATCTTCCCGGATCTTTCGCAATATGCCGCATCTGCAGCGGATAACGACAAAACAACCACCACCACCACCACCTTTCCTCCATTCAGTCCCATACGACCATCGATTGACCTATCAAAAGACCTGAAAAACAATTTTCATTTCTATGCCTGTAGGAGCCCCTGTGTGCGTGAAGAGATGTGTGTGTGTGTGTGTGTGTGTGTGTGTGAGAGAGAGAGAGAGAGAGAGAGAGAGAGAGAGAGAGAGAGAGAGAGAGAGAGAGAGAGAG